AGATCTGCCTTAGCATATTTAACAGTTATATGATATTCTACTCTACGTCTTTTTTTGGAAGCCGGAGTGGCATCCATTCCGTAATAGCTTGCCTCTGGAAACCCTATGAATCTGAAGAGAGGATGAAAGTCACACAAGCGTTGAGGACTTTTGTTCATAGGGTCGCTATGAATAGCCTACGACTCCCCCGCACTTAACAACAACAAGCTTCCCCCAAAGTTGTTGATGAGCCAATGTCAGTTCACAGTTACCTCGTGGGGGACAGAGCAGGGCTGTTCCATAGGATTCTCTTGAGGATAATCTTTATGAAAGGAAAAGCTAATCTTCATGGAAGCACAGGCCAGGAATCTCTTCTGCAGCACCACTGGGTGAGTTAAAAATGCTCACCTTTAGATAAGCAGATGATCATAAAACTAGTTGGCCACCCAGGAACAACAAATAATTCTACTTGTCAAAATTAAGAACTTAACCATAACATTGTGCTATTCCAGTCATTTTTGGATAATCTTCAGTAGAATCTTGCTTGCATGTGATATTAATGATTTTGTTCTGTAATTTCCACACACCGTTGGATCACCTTTGTTTGGGATGGGAACAAATATAGATCTCTTCCAGTCAGTTGGCCAGGTTGTTGTCCTCCAGATTTCTTGTCACAACTTGGTGAGCACATCTAGGGCACATATGTTTGTTGAAATATATCAATTGGTATAGCATCAATTCCTGGGGACTTTTTTTTGTCAGTTCTTTCTGAGCAGCTTGAACTTCTTCCCCATCACCACAGTCTCTTGCTCATATGTTGTTTCATGAAATTCTTCTGTGTCCACCAATTCCTTTTGGTACAATGACTCTGTATACCCTTTCCATCTTCTTTTACTACTTTGTGGCTAATTTCATATTCTGCACAAAGCATCCTTAAGTATTGCAACTCAGGGCTTGAATTTGTTCTTCATTTCCTTGAGCTTAAGAAATACTGAACTAGTTCAGCACTTTTGATTTTCTGACTCCAGCTCTTTGCATATTTTCATTATAATACTTTACTTTGTCTTCCCACATTGCCTTTTGAAATCTTCTGTTCAGCTCCTTAATAACTTGATTTCTTCCCTCTGCTTTGGCTTCTCAGCACTCTAGTGCAGTAATCAGAGTCTCTTCTGACATCCATTTTGGTCTTTTCTTCCTCCTCTGTCTTTGTAATGACCTTTTCCATCCTTCCTGGATGATATTCTTGATATCCTCCCACAAGTCACCTGGTCTTCGCTCATTAGTGTTCAAGGCCTCAAACTTGTTCCTGAGATGGTTTTGAAATTCAAGTGGGATAGATCAGAAGTGCAGGCTGGGATTAGAAGAGGTTGTGGTACTAGGGATATTGTAACTAATGTTAAATGGATCTTGGTTGAAAGCAGGGAATACCAGAGGAATGTCTATCTGTGTTTCATTGACTATGCAAAG